AAAACAAAATATTAGAAATGATTTGGGGAAGGATTTGCTATCCAGTCATTTAGGTCACTCCCTTTCTCAATATTTATACCATATTTGAAATTGTTCCTTCGTCATTTGTGACATCCTAGAGACAACAGTAAAATTGGTAAATGAATGAAGATTTGGAATCAGTATAGAGAGGGAGTGGAGGACTGGCAAACAGGAAGAATCTTGACTAGTTCTTAGGTCCATTTTATGGCAAAAATGCATGCGGAGATTAAACATCTGCAAAGCTGTTTGCCAGTGGATTCCTTGAAAAAATTCATCTCTTCAGGCCTCCCTGGTGGCAAAAGGGATTAAGCACAGCACTATGAAGCTATTTGCAGACTCTACAGCACGTGTTCCATCCCTGGGCAGCCAGGGAGCAAACCACATGGTGCAGCAGACTCTCCTGTTTTATCCGCTGCCCCCCTCAGCAGTGTATTTCAGTAGATCTGCCTGTTCTTCTCCCCACTCTGTCTCTGGTGAATCCTCTCACTCCCCACACCTCTGGCCTGTACCCCAGTTCTTGTATGCATAAATAAATAAATCTTTAAAAAAAATTCTCTCTCCTCAGGGGCATATCCTCACCATCTTGCAAGTTCCTGTTTCACATTAGTGCCAAATTCCTGAACAACTGCGAGATTTCTCCTATAATTTCAACCTTAATATAATCTCCAATTATAAATCAATATTTAATAAGGACCAGGAAACATTTGACAAAGCAGGCAGAGAACTGATTCTTAAATAGACTTTAGCAAAAGTTTATCTGCCTCAGGAATCTTCAGTGAACCTTATTTTCCCTAATAAAAAATGGAGAACTCTATCATTCCAAATTATTGTCAGGTTGCACAAACTATTAAATCGTCAAAGTCTTCTGCAAGAAATTTCAAGGAAAATGCATGCTCAAATATCTAGTATTTTATCTAACAGAATTTATGTTTCCTTAAATTTTGAAGAGCATAGTTTTCTTGTCACAGGACATGATATTGGAAGGAAGGGGGAAAAAAAGAACCAGAAAAAAGAAGGATGAGTTTGAGAGTAACTTTTAAAGAATTCTAGCTGTATATACTCCCTGTTCTCTTGTACCCCTTGCTGCTGGTCATGGTGACATGACACAACCTAGTATAAAAGGAAATATTACCCAAGGTCAGAAGTGGCCTCTCCTGGGCTGTCTGTGAAACTACTGAAATATTTCATTTCTAAGATCAATCTTTCTTAAAGCTTTCTTTTCTTTTCTCAAAAATCATTTTCCATGGACAATAATCATGGCAAAATTATTGACTTAGAAATGTTAAGGAACTCAGCTGTACTTTAAATCTATAACACAAGAGTGTATAAAGCCATAGAAAATGCTTAACTCAAAAAATTCAAGTAAGCTAATTCTGCCTACCTTTACTTTGATTGTCTATTTTTCACTTGATTTATTTAAATAATCTTTGTATTCTTTGATTGAAATATAATTCCCTTCTTGTTGATATAGGATATATAGTTGAAATTTGATTTCCCCTTCTACAAGTAAGCAAAAATATGTTGAGTTCATAGATAGTATTTTATTACCTACTCTATGAAATGTATATCATGAAAAAGGTCAAAATTTTGAGTTAGAGACCATGGTTATTTTAAACAAGTCACTTAACATCGAGCCTCTGTTTACTTATCTGTAACATATTGATAATAATTTTCCTGTCTGATATCCCACCAATATGAAAGACATATGAATGCAGATAGTTGTATGAACATACATGCTCAAAAATACAGACCAATGAGGGCCTCCCTGGTGGCACGGGGGTTAAGATGCACCCAATGAAGCTATCTGCAGCCACCACAGCACAAGCTTGATCCCTGGCCAGGGAGCTACCCACATGGTGCAGCAGACCTCTCCTGACTCGCCCACTGCTCCCCTCAGCAGTGTATTTCAGTGGATCTGCCTGTTCTTCTTTTTTTTTTGTTAAAGATTTATTTATTTATACAAGAACTGGAATACAGGCCAGATGTGTGGGAGGGTGAGAAGATTCACCAGAGACAGAGAAGGGAACAGAACAGGCAGACTGATGAAATACACTGCTGAGGGGAGCAGTGGGTGAGACAGGAGAGGTCTGCCGCACCATGTAGGATTCTCACCGGCTGGCCAGGCTCAAACCCACACTGCAGAGGCTGCGGACAGCTTCACAGTGCGGCGCTCAACCACCTGCGCCAACAGGGAGGCCCGGATCTGTCTGTTCTGCTCCCCACTCTGTCTCTGGTGAATCCTCTCATCCCCCTGAACCTCTGGCCTGTACCCCAATTCTTGCATGCATAAATAAATAAATCTTCAAAAAAATACAGCCCAATGAAAATGCATTCACTCTGCCTCTACTCTCTCTTCTATGGAGTCCATGTTTCATAAGGCAAGGACAAAGATTTTAAAAATCCAGTCTTATTTATAAAGAACCATTCACATACCTTATCTGTAAACATATGGTTTATTTATGCTTTTAATAATGAAACTAGGGAAAAATCAGTTCAGCTGAACATACAAATAACTTTATCAACATAGTATTTGCAGAGAAAGAATTCATCTAATCAAAATATCACAACACTGAATTTCACAGTTAAACCCACATGCAGATTGTAGAATTTTGCTACCGAATGTTTTGATGGAATGTGTTAAATATAAAAATAATCCAAGGCAATTTCCATTTAGCACATTGTACAAAACTAATTCTTCAATGGAATTAACAAGTTTATAATCTTTTCCATAAGGTGCTATGTATTCAAAGTGCTTTATAGCATTGAGGTTGAATTCACAAATACTATAGACCTCCACGGTCATGCAGCTTAGTAATGAATAAAATTGTGTACAACATAAATGAAATTAACCCATAAAACATAAGACAGACATTAGAGAGCAATGATATGTCATGAGTGATAGGCATCCTTTGGTAGGGGAGGAGTATAAAGACTTCATCTACACATCATTACAATCATTATAAAAGCTTAAGTTGATTTAATCACTTTAATAGTGAGTCTTTTTTCCTAAAGAAAGAAAAATAGACAGAAATAGATTTTAAAAAAAGAAATGTAGGGAGAAAGAAATGCTTCAGAAATCATTTTTCAACTGAGACAAATCCTCACTACAATACAGTATCTGTAACAGCAGTTTTCATACTTCAGTGTACATTAGAATTACCCAAAGGGCTTGTCAAAACACCAGTTGGTAGGCCCCACCCACAGAGCTTCCAATTTAATAGGTATGAGAAGAGGGTTGGGATTTGTATTTGGAACAGTTCCAAGTGAGGCTGATACCTGATCAAGCGACCCCATTGTGAGAACCACTATTCTGTTAAATCTTTGATCATTGGACAGATCTTTTGTTTATTAAAATGAAGAGCACCTATAAAGATATGTCTGGTCCAGAGGGACAGAGAATATAGGGCAGCCAGCATGGATTGTGTGATGATTTAGGGCAAACGTTCTCAATTTTGGCTACAAAGTAGAATCAATTGAAGTATGCATATGTATATCTACATATACCCATCTAAAACAAAATCAGAATCTCTCTGGAGTGGAGTCAGAGGTTGACTCCTACATGCAGGTGCCCCATGAAAGTCTAACGTCTAATGTGTCATCCAGCTAAGAATCACAACTTAAGGAAATTTTCTTTCACCTCTTCACACAGCAAAAAATGATCAAATATATGGGCCTCCCATGGTGGCGCAGGCGGTTGAGCGCTGCGCTGTGAAGCTGTCCGCAGCCTCCGCAGCGCTGGTTCGATCCCGGAAGACCAGCCAGTGTCCCACATGGTGTGGCAGAACTCTCCTGTCAGGCCTGCTGCTCCCCTCAGCAGTGTATTTCGTCAATCTGCCTGTTCTGTTCCCCTCTCTGTCTCTGGTGAATCCTCTCACCCTCCCACACATCTGGCCTGTACCCCAGTTCTTGTGTAAATGAATAAATAAATCTTTAAAAAAAATGATCAAACATATGTGCCTTTTGGAATACTGGTATATGAATTGAGACGTCTTCAAGGAAATAAAAATCCCAGTAGACACAGTTGTACACAACCAGTTCTAGTAATATTAGGGAGTAATTTAAAGCATTTATGAATGTTGATTTACAATGCACTGCAAGGTTAATTCACAGGTTTGAAATAACAGAACTTGGGAGAGTGAGCATCACAGTAATTTAATCCACTTCTTTTCCATTGAATGATATAAACCGAAGAGTCTAGAATATTAGAATACGTGCTGAAGTGCAATGTTTATCCACTATAATTATGGTTATACTCATCTCATGCAGCTAAATTATTTATTATCTTGATTCAAATTTGAGTGGCCCTATAAGACCTCAAGGGGTGATATGCCGCAAGCATTTACTAGTGTACCTCAGAAAGTAAAACTACAGAAACAGACACACAAAACCAGTGATACTTGGAATAAATTACTCTTCCGTATAACAGAAAGTATGAATATTTCTAAGTGTATTGTGAACATACATGTCATGGAATCCTTTGCTAGAAGGACTTACAGGTCTGCAGCAATCTTTAGTATTAAGCATAAGTGGAAGAATTAAAGCTAATTTTCATAGACTAAGTCACTAAAGCCAGAAGCCAGAGATTTTAAATAAAATTCTTGTACATTAAACTGGGACTAATATTTGATTATAAAAAGAAGAATTTAAGCAAACTCCAGTCATCAGCATTGTGCCTTGTAGCTGACTTTTGGTAAAAGGCAAACATTTGAAATCTAGCAATTCAATCTGAATATAGACATATTACTATGTGTATATATATATATATCTCACTATGTCTAAATACACATCACTCCCCCAGTTCTTCATGAGGAACCATCTCCCCTAAGAAGGGTCCTACACTCTATGAATCTAGTTTCAAAGTGCTCACTGAGCTTCTGTTCAGCACTGACAGATTCAGAACCAATTCAGACAAAAGAGCAACAAAGAGAATTTAAAGCTCTAGCAAATGCTTGAGTGAGTCTCTCTTCACTTTTTAAGTCTTCCAGAAGACACCTTTCACATATCCTGAAAAACAATAAAAAGTATAAAATTATGAACATAATCACTCAGGATAGTAGAAACTGGTAGTAGAAACTGGACACTAAACATATGAAGGCATCAAGGAAATAGGAGGGAAAGAAATACTATAATAATTGTGGTCCTTAGTAGCAAACTTCAATATTTTGTATATATACATATACATTATGTACATTTGTGCATATATACGTTATATTGATAGAACATAATTGCAGTATACCTGTAAAATACTGAGTCTATATTTGTAGGTATATATATATGTTAAACTTCACAAAACTGCAAAAATGAAGGCATAGGGTGCATTGGAAGGCAAATATTCACAACCATCATTTTAACTGAATTCTGGGGATAGAATTTGATTCTTCCCTTCTGTGGTATATGCCCTTGTGGCATATTCTGTATTTCATCTTTGGGCCCTGGAAGGGAGATAGGGCACTCACTACTTCAGAGAGCTATGCTTGCTAAGCAGAATGTGACTTAGAGTCATAAAGGGAGTAGAAGAGTGTCCCTGGGTGTGCATTGGCCCCACCTCCATCTTACCCAGCTGCTCTCATGATGGGTTTGGGGTTAAACAGCATAGAAATGAAAGCTGTGTGTGTTTGTGTTTGTGTGTGTGTGTATACATGTGCATGCATGCACACAGGCTGATAAAGGGATAAGGGAATCCAAATGGGAGGTAACCCCAGATGGGCTATCTGTTTAATCCTACAAACAGATCAGGCTTAAACTCACCGTCTGCCATGAAGTCTCTTAGGCCTTTACGTCCTTCAGGGAAACATCTGTGTTCTCACTTTCTTTTTGCACTGTTTGTTCTTGCTTCTCTCGGGCTGCAGTGCAATTGGGCTTTACAGGAGGTGTTTCCCTATCTCGTAGACTCTCTCTTCTTGGCTGTGATTCTGTCCCTTGGGGTAATCCTCGTCTGAATTCTTCAACTGCTGACTCCTGCCCCTCATCTGTCTCTGCCTCCTCTAGCCTTGACTCTGTTCTCAGAATGGTTTCAGTTTCCCCTCCCTCTTGACCCTGTCCTAACTGTGGGGTCTTCCCTTCCAGGTCTGAAGGTGCTTGGAGACACCCCATCCCAGCTTCTGATGCTGAAGTCGTCACCTCAACTGCTGGCACCTCCTCCCTCAGCACTATTTCCTGCACTACCACCCTCTGTGCAGCTGCTGCTTTTCCTAGTAACTCATCCACTTTGTGCCAAGTTTCCTCCCCAGCAACATCTGAAAAGGAAGAGGCTTTATTTGTGTCTGTTTTCCCCTCAGCTGTCCTGGAATCTGCCAACACCTCCCTCTTCTCTATGGCTATTTCTACCTTGGTTCCTCCTCCTTGATGGAGATCTTCCTCAGCCACAACTGCTCCTCCTTGGAAGCTCCCACGCCCCTCTGTCTCTCCATTCTTCACCACTCCTATCTCCAGGGTGTTCTCTTTATCTGCCTCCTCCTCTGGGTCCTCACCCATGGCTTCTTCACTCAACATTCCTGCCATCAGGGTATCCCCCACAGAAACATCTTGGGTCACTGTCATCACCCCCACTATTTGTGGCCCCTGTAAAGACTCTTCTTTATCCTTCCTCTCCTGTCCCACAAGTCCATCTTGATCTCTGGCTAAACATTCCTGAAACTTGGCCGTGGCTGTGATCCTTTCCTCCGATGCCCCGGGCTTTCCTGTGAGCTCACTTTCAGGAGCTCTTAACACACCCTTTCCCTCACTGGCTGCCCCCTCTTCCTCCTCTGAAGAAGCCACCTTCTCCCTGGGGAGCAGCTCTGCCTTATTTTCATGTTCTGTGTCTCCCTCTTTCTTCAGAGCTGCTATGTTTTCCAGTGATTTTTCAAACCCGGGTGCTGCTTCAAATATGGTCACCCCCGTCTCTCCCAGTGAAACTTCTCCTTGAGACTTGGTGTCTTCAGTCAGTTCTGATGCCCTCATAGATGCTTCATCCTCAGCATCACACTTCATTTTATTGGAGGGTGCCTGTGTCTCTTCCTCAGGTCTTACTTCATTCACTATTTCCCCCGCACCCCCTTTAAACTTTCGTTCTTCTTCTAAAGTGTTTTCTTCCTGACATTCATTTGCCCCTGTCACCTCTTCTCTCTCAGATTCAGTTTCTGCCAGAGGTATTTTTGGCTTCTCAGCTTTCTTCTTCTCTCTTGTTGCATCAAATTCCTCAGGTAACATTTCTTTCCTATCATCTTCCTTATTAGATTCTGGCTCAGTCTCAACCACTTCTCTCCCCACATCTTCCTTACCAAGTTCCTGGAAGCTGTTCCCGGAAACCCCCACCAGGGTTTCCATGACCTTCTCAGAAGTTGAGGAACTCAAAGGTGTTTCCATTTCCATAATTTCCTTCCTCTCTTTGGCTGGTTCCTCTCCCCCAACTGTTGCTTCTTCTGGATCACCCCCTCTCTCAGGTGCAGCCTCTCCCATGAGTCCCTTACCCTCTAGGTCTGTGGATGCATTCTCTTCACTGTCTTCCACATCTGTTTTTCCAGGCACCATCTCACTCACAGCTGCCTCCAGCTCAGCCTCCCCCATCTCCAGCACCGCTGTCTGCCTCAGGGCCACTGTCTCCTGAATATTCTGTGATTTCAGCACTGCTGCACTGTTTGCAAACACTGCCTTCTCCAAATCTTGCTCCTCCTCAGAAGCTGCCAGCTCTGTCTCCAGTACTGTCTGTACCATGTTCTCCTCTTGGGGAACCTTGTCTTCATTCAGACCTTGCCGGTATCTTGACGTTTCTTGTCCCTTGGGACTTAACACCTCTGTACCCAGCCTTCCATTCCCTTCTGCTTCTGCCTCTGCCCCACTTGCTATATCCTGTGGGATCTCTCTTTCCTCTGTTAATTGCCCTGCTAAGGAAGGCTGCTCTGCTGTTGGCTTCCACGCCCCCAATGGAATTTCTACTTTCCCCAACAGTGCTGCACCTTCTTGTTCCTCTATTGTCTCAGCACCCCTGTGTTGGGGAACTTCATCTTCCCCCACTGCTTCTTTCTTCTCCAGTGTATACATTTCTGATGTGACCTGCTTACGTTCCTTGTTTGAGTTGAGTTCTTCCCTTTTTTCCACCACAAAATTACTCTGCAGTGCTATAAAAACAAGTTTAGAAAACAAGGTTACTTTAATCAAAATGGAAAAGGGAGGAGATATTCTATATAATCTCATAATTTTTATATACAATATAGGAGAGATTTATTTATGATATCAAGGGGATATAAATTGTATATATAAAACATTCCCTTGATTCTATGATGCCTTCAACCATAACATGCACCATGATTTAATAATGGCTTTCTGTGATAAAAAGAAATGCTATCAAATTTAATGGACACTTTGATATAAAAGGAAAATTGAACATCAGAAATACTGAAAACAAAGAAACAACTTCGTGGTTTTAGAATCATAAAATCAATGTCTTTCTCACAAATACACACACACAGACACACCTCCTTCTTTCATTTGAAACATTAGGACTTCATAGAAAAGTTATACAAAAAGAAAAATGAGGATTTCATCTTCTTAGAAGTCATTACTCTCCATAGCACATAAAATATCTGTCCTCAGCCTGCTTCTTGTACTCATGCGGGCATTTAGCACCACCATCCGAATACAATGTGAGCTAATCATTATCCCATTCACTGCTCCCACCTTTTAAAGCTACTATATCTAAATTTAGTCTTCAAATAACTTTGTAACTCACAGTAAGACTTTTTACTAAAGACACCAATTTGTATTGCAGGTCAGGATACCTCCCATCTACATTCAGAAACTGATTTGCCTTTGGCAAAACTGGATCACAGAAGAAGACAGAACTTTGTAGTCTGGGACAATTTTAGCATAAATAACCTTCTTGAAGTATTTCATAAGTTTTCATTGATGATTCCCTGGCAAATCTGGGTGTACTAGCTGTCATACTTCAATAAAATGTGGTTCAACACTTTTTTAAAAAGGCTTCAAATGAATTTCTTATATTGCTAATTGATATTATATATTTATACTTAATATATTTTTATTATTGAACAAGTACATGCACTTCTGTTTAAATGATCTATACAAAGTAAATAAAGGCACAGCATACCAAATATCCAAAGCCTTTAAATTTTCTAAATACATAATAGCACTTTGGGAGATAGCTTCTAAAATGATTATCTTAATAATTTCTGTCAACTAAACTTTTTCATTTATAGAAGACACTGGACTAGATATTATAAAATTTTATTATACCATGGCGTCAATCTCCAATTTCTGTATACTTATAGAGTAGCAAATGTGTCTTCCTCAAATTTTTTTCTTAATTGCCTTTTTGGCTATCTCATCCTCTACTTCATCACCAACAATCCACCAGGTTGTTTCGCCTTGGGCCTTAACACCTCTCATCTTATGTCTTCCCTGAATTCTGATACCCTATGCAGAACTGTCTTATAGCTCTTTATCCTCTCTGAATACAAAACATGGATACCCTTGTTGATTTTCTTGGCTTCTTGCCAGGTACTACAATAAACTATTTTGAAGGCAATAATAGCGGATATTGCATACATGAAAAAATGTATTTGGAAGGTAAATTTTGCTGTTTCCTTTAAATGAGTAAAACAGAAATTACAGGTCTATCAATAGGGTTGATGTTGACTTATATAGGTAGTCCTCAGATATAGCAGTTATTTCCTAAATTGCATCTACAAGCTCCCAGAGAGAAATATAGAACCAAATATTCACTCAGAGAACATGTAGTCAATTCACCTGTGAGAATATGGTCCATATTCTTTCATTACAGATTATCAATTTTGAACAAAATGAAATTGAAACAATGAGAAACAACAATGTATGTCAAGTCTCTTTAGTAGTATAGCTTTTGCTATTCAAACTCCTGCATGAAAATTGTTATTAAAATGTCAGTTATGAAAAACATTTAAATAAAGCAAGCTGGCCTCTATATTTATAGATTAATTAAAGAACATGCAGGGGAACCAGAGAATAAAATTTCCTAGGCTTCAGGTAATAATATACTGTCTAAATCCCAGAGAAAAAAGAGCTAATGGCATCCAGCAGAGCTATTATATGAACACATACACTCTAAGAATGAGAAGTGACATTCCTGAAGCAAGCAAGAAAGAATAGATAATGCCTCTAAGAAACAGCAGTATGAAAACATGACTTTTTTTATGATAACCTCACTACTTTCTTAAAAGAGGGGGAGCAGTATTCACAAACAGAGGCAATCAACTTAGTGGATTGAGTATATTTTATACTTGGGAGTCAGTTGGACTGGATGAGAAGGCTGACTCTGTCACTTAGTAGTATAAACTTGGGAAACATCACCTCTCTAAGTTCTCATTCTCTTATCCGTAAAATGGGAATAATAATGCATGACTCACAGAATCCTTGTTACATTAAACCACCAAAGGCTCATCACAGCACACAGAAGGCCCTCACAAGTCTCCCTGCCACACTTCCCTCCTACTATATGCAATACATTAGATTTTCATACTTGACTTCATTTGATGGATAACAACTACTATGCTTGCATTGCAGAATGTTTGGAGAGGTACTCTAGTCCTGCTCTGGTTGAATATCCATTATAAAAGATGGTGTCCTCAAAGTTAGAGTCCTACTTCTATAATTCAAGCTCCTGAGTATCATCTGGTCCTCTCCACACAGACCAGGAGGCTGAAGCTCAGGGAATCAAGGTAAATGCAGGTATTCTGGCTACTGTTATTTGTTGTAAGAAATAAAATTCTTTTTCTCTGATTCAGAAGTCTTGTGTCTTCTGTTAATATCCATGAAATTGTAATAGGCTATCTTATTTGTTTGAAAATAGGGTAAAATGTCACATGGGTCACAGTGCTTGATGACTATCAATGAAAATTGGAGGTTGGGGTAAGGCGCCTATTTGATGAATCACCTCTGTACACACACACACACACACTCATGCATGCATGCATATATTCATATCAGAATTTTTTTTAAGTTATCCACTAACTATAAGGGAACTTGACTTCAAGGACACAGGATGTTTGACCAGATAGTTATGAGTCATGGTCTGTTGAGTACACTCTAATTGGCTCCCTACAGCTGAATACTCATCACCAAGAGCCAGTCAGGCACATACTGATGGTAATGAATTCTTCCCTAATTTTTAAAAATAAGGAATTTGAATACATCATTGTAAAATGTGCCCTGGCTTGCCACGGTTTTCATGGGTTAATTGGGTAAACCCTCCTACGTGGTCAACTAACTGGGAAGCAGGCTGTGAAATAAGACTGATCTGAAAATCCCTACCAATATTTTTTATAAAGGCCTTTTTTATCCTAGGCAACAATGCATTTGATAAAGAATAATATTCATATCTGATATCAGCTGTAAAGCTCCCCTTAGGCCTTTCAACTGCCTCCTGCCACAATCATTTTTTGAAAGCAAAATAAAGGTGGTAGATGGAGGAAAGGAGGGTAGAAGATGAAAGCTAGAAAAGAGGCTATCTTTTGCAGAGGATTTCTGAACATCTTTCCCAGGTAATGATGTGCCCTCACCTGCACCCGTGTTGATCTCCGGCTTCCTCCAGTGCTTCTCCCCAGCATCCACACTGCTAGCACCAGACTCAGCATTGTGGCGGCAGTGGCAGCCAGGTTCCAAGGCTCCAGCTATTATCTGTCCAACTGATTGGAGATCATATAAAATATCAAGAGCTATAACAACAGGTCATGGGAATATTGCTGCGCTATTGCACATCATTTCAGCAAGTGGTGTTCATTTAAAAGCGTTCATATTAAATCGTGACCTTGTTTTTAAGCTTTAAAATTAAACAGCTTCCAAGCTATGATTTTAAAAGGGAAACACAATAGATCACAAAGAAAAGAAATCCATGCAAAGAAATACTTGCATTTAAAAAAAGACAAGAGTCAGAGCAGTGACATACTTGCCAAATGCACATGCAATGAAATGACAAAAAAAGCAGTTTAGTTGCCTTTTTCTTTCTAGAAACATGTTATGGTTTTTATGAGACTGATAAGCACTGATTTTTTTAAAGTTGCTGAAACTACCAGGACTACACTAAGAGCATGTTAGCCATTAGCAGATTTTAGTGATTTGACCCCAGCAGTCACTTGTGTGGACCAAGAAAAAATGCTACTGCATCATTCCTGTCAATTCGACAGGAAAGGCTATTGTAGATCTTCTAGTTATCTGCAGCTGACTATTTGCAGGGAACTTCAGGATCACAAAGACCTAAGTTCAAGTTTCATATTCCATACTAATTATGTTACCTTCAGGGCAAGTTCTTTGGCTAAGCCTAAGCCTTATTTACTTTTCAAAGAATTACTTACTCAGTGATTTTGGGGAAGATTAAGTGAAGTAATAAATGTAGAGCATACCGATATTCTTTATAGCAAGCCCCTAAGCACTTAATAATAATAGCAATGATGATGATGAATAATTCTAAGTATCATCATCTAATCTTATATGGTACTAGACAATACTGTAGTATCAAGTTTGTCTTCAGTTTCTGAGATTTCCCTGTCTGTGTCCCTTTGCTATCATCTGACCCAAGACCCTCAATTCCTGACAGCTACAATTATGCCACCTTCTGGTTAACAAAAGCTCACTCAAATAACACCAGACCTAGGTCTGCCTTCCTTGATAAGAAATGGTATCTCCAAATACCCTTTTCTTTCTCCCTCCTTCTTCCTCTACATCTCTCCCCTCCCTTCCCCTCCCCACCTTTCCCACAGAGAGATGCTTATCCAATTGACCTAAACACTAGGATTTGAGAAAAGTTAAAATGTGCTCTTTTGCTCAGATTAAGGTGAATTGCTAAGGGCTGGTTTGTTACTTACTGACCCGTTTATGTTTAGAAACAAAGAGTGAAATATCTGCTTATTACCTACTTGGTTTGGGGGCGGGGGGAGGGAAGGGGGATGAAATGACTTAACTATATTAATTTTAACAGGGCAAACATGAAATTAAAAGAAGTACAACATATTCTCTTTAAAAAACTTTGTGTTGGGCCTCCCCGGTGGCGCAGTGGTTGAGCGCTGGGTTGTGAAGCTGCCCGCAGCCTCTACAGCGCCAGTTCGAACCCCGGCTGCTCCCCGGCCATCGGAGGATGGTCCCACATGGTGCACAGACCCCTCCTGCTGCCCACTGCTCCCCTTAGCAGTGTACTTTGGTCCTTCTGCCTGCTCTGCTTCCCGCTCTGGCTCTGGTGAATTCTCTCACCCTCCCTCACTTCTGACTGTACCCAGTGCTTGTATAAATAAATAAATAAATCTTTAAAAAATAAAAAAATAAAAAAAACTTTGTGAACATCAATTTTCCTCATTCATTCAATGTCAAATAAAAAAAATTCACAATAATGTAGTTTAGTGATGACATCAACTCATGGTAATTACGTTATAGTTGGGTTTGTCATCAAATTAACTTTCATAATATTTATTTTGGGAAGTCTGTAAACAGCACATATAAATCAAATATAATCTTGCTATAATAGTGTTAACACTGCATAACTAGAGAATTTGAATAAACAGTATTTTAGGGTCTTGCATGGGAACCTGCTTGAGTGACTGAATGATAAAAATCCCAAGGATGGTAGGACTGGGGAATGTAAGGAAACGTGATTTCTTAGCCTTATGTGAAGTTTTGTTTTGTCAGATCCAGCAAAGTCTACAGACTAAAAAGAAATATGGCTTACAACAATAATAATAAACAATAATAAGCAATTAGCAGCTATTGAACCAAGACTATTTTAAGAAGCCAAAAAGTACTTGCATGACCTGGAAATTACAACTCACTCAGAATTCACAGTGAAGTGTGTAGTCCCTCTGTCTCAGGACTGCAATCACCATTTGCCCACATCTGCAGCTTTGCCTTTGGAGGGTTAGGCTTTGGAAGTAGATGAGAGCCTGTGTAGTTAGGTGTTCCCTGTTTCAGATTCAGCAAGAATAGGACCCTGGCCTGAGCATCAAGAACTCAGTAGGTGTGAGACCAAAAAGGCCGCACTTGGTTATTTTTTCTCAGATGTTCTTCTAAAACTGCAACTTAAAAGCAAGAACTTGGCCAGTGTCTAACCTTAACTGTCTTCCACTTGTACAGGAAGACTGTGCTTGCTGGGACACCCAGGTCAGCTCAGTCACATCCACTCTGTTAACTCTCTCCGTTTAGTCCTCCATCCCTCAAGACTCCTCTCCTTAACACTCTATAAATGCGACCATTAAAAGCAAAATCAATTGTCAGTTCTCATAGCATTAGAAGCAAAATGGAAGGAGCTCTTACATAAAGTTTCTGAGAAAAGCACTTTTTCACTCAAATGATACAGGATATTTTAAGATTTTTTTCTCAAAATAATAAAATATACTTATATCCAAATTAGCTTTTTTATTATAAATCTATTTTAAGATAAGGCATATTATGTTTTCCCTAATACAAAAATAGTATATACTGGCTACCCAAAGTTTGAAAATAGAAAAAAAGTACAAAGAGGAATACAAAATTATCCTAGTTTCACTATTCAGAGACAGCTACTAGTTCATACTTTGGTGAATTTCTCAGTATTTTTTTTTTTCACTTTACTCTTACTATGGATAGTATTTTGTGTCCCATTTTATTCATTTAGCAATATATTGTGATTGTTTCTATATACTAAATAGAAAATAACTGCATAGAGTGTTCTAATAGGGTTTTACTAAAATTTGGTTACCAAATGGAAGGATAATCAACTGATGTTGGGTACTGAGTTATTTCTATATTGGTGTGTGTGTGATTATAATGCTATTTTAAATACCATGTACATAATTATTTTGTACTTATTTCAGACTGCTACTTTAGGATAAATTCCTGGAATTACAATTTGCTGAGTCAAGAGCATACTATTGTTAGAAGCTTTTGATATATATTTCTTCATGTTTGTTTCTCAAAAAAATGGAGATCTCGATTAAAAATTTCACTTATAATGATGAAAGATCTTATATGCTTCCTAAAAGTGTCACAATTCCCACCAATTCTTTCTATATTTGGTCATTTACTAATTGAATCATGGCAAGCTTTCAATATTTGTAGGCAAGCTCTCTAAATTCATTCCCTCTCCTTCTTTCTTTTGAAACAAAACAAGCAAATTTCATCTTGAAACATGGTATGAATCCTGAGAAATTCACTATCAGAAGAAAGTTTGGCCAAGAATTTTTCATCTGAATTTTGGGATGATTAAATTCTATTTAATTTTAATTTTTAACATTAAAAAGCCCCTAAAAACAGAGCAAGGATGTATCCAAGTTTACTTCAAGTTGCTGGTCACCTTGAATGCTATCCCTGTGGTTTAATCATTTTTGGTAACCAATCTATTATCTTCCCAACAGCTCCCCATGACAAAATTCATAACTAACATCATCTACCTACACAGTAAAGATGTTCCTGTGTTACCTTTGGCATTGAAGCATGGCCCACAGAAACCTAGAATTAATTACAAACTCCAGATCACAGCTGTTCGAAGCTAACAGTTACATAAAACTGAAGTCTATCTATCCTTCCACAGTAGTGAGAATAATCTTTTCAAGACTTTCAGATCATATCATTTGTATGCTCAAATTTTCCCAATGATTTCCTATCTCAGAATAAAATCTATTGCATGGCTCACAAATTTCTCCCTCTGGCCTCATCTTATACCACTTTCTGCTTTGTCCCTTCTGTTCCTTTTATTTTATTTTTTAATTAAAAAAATTTAGGCCTCCCTGGTGGCGCAGGTGGTTGAGCGTCGCACTGTGAAGCTGTCCACAATCTCTGCAGTGCAGGCTTGATCCCGGCTGGCCGGCGAGAATCCCACATGGCACAGCAGACCTCTCCTGTCTCGCCCGCTGCTCCCCTCAGCAATGTATTTCAGTCAGTCTGCCTGTTCTGCTCCCCACTCTTTCTCTGGTGGTTCCTCTCACTCTCCTGCAGATCTGGACTGTACCCCGGTTCTTGTATAAATAAATAAATCTTTCAAAAAAAATTTTTTAAAGATTTATTTATTTATGCATACAAGAGCTGGGGTACAGGCCAGAGATGCAGGAGGTGAAAGGATTCACCAGAGACAGAGTGGGGAACAGATCAGGGAGAATGACTGAAATACACTGCTGAGGGGAGCAGCAGGCAAGACAGGAGAG